GAGGGAGAAGGAGAGGGGAAGGGAATGGCAGGGGCATGCTCCCTGGAGGGAGAGCATGCTGGGACCTTCTTGTTCAGGAGTTTTAAAGGCTGGGCTTTTAGGGGAGGATCAGTAGAATATTTATCAGCTTATTCTCTTAATTTGTCTGTCCTCTGGTGTAGTTGGCAAATGTCACTGATTGGATTTCTGTTATCTATCTTCCTGAGTAGCATGATTTAGCTATTTACCCTCTGGTTGGGGAGGAGAAGTGCAAACCATTTACTCTGAAGTGTCCCTGGTTTAGGGAAGATAGGATTGACTAGGTGGCTGCAAACTGCCGTTTAATTATCTGTCTCAGTTTCCCTATTCCACTTGTCCTGGAATTTTCCTAGCTTCTTACTACAACAGGCAGCATGAAAATTCACAGCCATTCTGTCACCCTTAAAAAACAAATTATCTACCAAAGCTACAAGAATCGGGAAAAAGTACATCAACTCTTTAAAAATTCACTTTTGATTTTTTTTTGCCAACATTAAAAATTCCTCCTGGAAATAAATTAATTATTGAGACAAATTTCAGTGAAACTATTTATATGTTCAGGGAAATGGTATTTGTGATGAGGAGGTGAGTTGCACATCAGATTATGTCAGCACAGACAGGTGGGATTCAACATTTTTTACTTCTCTTTGTTCTCTTTTTCTCCCTTTATTAGACTTCCCTTCTTTTCTGCACTTAGTTCACTAAGCTTCACTTCGCTTCACCAGCTTAACAGGGTCTGGGCAGGCAGCGCATATATGATGTCCTGAAAACACACTGCCCTGTGTAAACAATTGTTTTTGGCAATTCGGAGGTTTTGTGGCAGGACTGCATCTTTTTTCCCCCTCAAAATGAAATGTTTAGGCCAAAGTTAGAATTGCATGTGCGTTTTTATGAACTGGCATATTCAAACATTACAATTGTGTGTTTAAAAGGGGAATTTGATATTTTTTGCTCTTTCTTCATTGGGCCTCCATCTTTTCATAGCTCCATTGTTTTCTCTTGTACAGAACATTTTCATATCTTGGTAGATCTCTTCAGCATCTGTTTCTCCTCAATAATAATTTTCATTCAAAAATAATAACCCTTTGGCTTCTTTGGACATGTTTTGTTTTGCCCCCACCTAAGAAGTTCACCAGCGTGCGTTGAAGGTTAACAGCTCCATTTCTGAAATTCTCTTGGATCCTTTTTGGAGCAAAGTGCCAAAGTATATAAGGAGGGCTCAAATGTTTCTGAGCTCTGCCAAGTCCTCTGAGGAGGGCTCCACGAGCTGCACCTCTGCCAGCTCCCTTCTGCCCTCACTGCGTCTGGCTTCTTCATGATTCCACACATGAGCTTTTATCTTTTGCTCATATGAGAAAAGAACCTTTGGATTAATAGAAGCAACAGAATCTTTATTTATGTAACAACTCTCCGTTTTCCATTAACAGGTAGGGAATTGTTTCTCACCTCACCGAATTTTCTCCTCTCTTTTCTTTTCTGTCCCCTGACAAGCAGGGTCATGAATGTTTTCATTGATCATTTTCTAATGCTCCCATCAATTGGCAGCAGTGACCAAAGTTGCTCAAAGAGCTTTTCTCACAATTTCTGAAATAGTAGAAAGATTAGGTGAACAACAAAGGCACTGCTGGAAATGGTTGGAGGGACCTTTTTAGCAGTGTTTTGCCTTAGGGGCCCTGGGTCACAGGTCACTCCATTAACACTCTGTCTATTGTATTGTATGTGCTGAGCAGTTTGCTTCAGTTGTAACTCTCCCTTTTCTTTTTGAATATGTTTTTATTGATTGTTTAGAGGGAGAGAGTGTAGAAACATGATGTGAGAGAGAAACATCAATCTGCTCCCTCTGCACACCCCCTACCGGGGATTGAACCTGTAATCCAGGCAGGTGCCCTGACCTGGGACTGAACCTGGACCTCTCAGTCCTTGGGACTACACTCAGTCCACTGAGCCACACCGGCTGGGCTTAGTTGTAACTTTCTGTTGCAAGAAGCAGTAACTCAACCCAAAGTGGCTCAAGCAGAAAGAGATTTTAGTGGCTTGTATAAATGAAAAGCTCAGAGGTGCAACTGTCTTCTTATGTAGCTAAATGCGGGACTCAAGCCATGTTATAAGGCCACTGATTTCTCTCATTTTATAAATCTCTTGGATTTTTTTCTTTAATGTTGGCTCATTCATAGCAAACTCTCCTTTCAGACTCACAAGATGGCTGCAGAAACTTCAGAATGCACATCTTCTGTTTCACATCCATGTGGAGTCACTATAGGCAGACACGACAGACTAGATGGCTTAGCTTCATGAAACTGGATTTCCAGTGGTCTCCTGAAGATCTGACACTCCTAGAGATTAACCTACCCTGGGGCCATCCTACTTTAGGACTTGTGATCTGAGACAATAACTTATTCTTACTGATTAAACTATTTTACATTAAGTTTTTTTTAATAAGGGAAATTATCTTTTTTACTCTTTCATCTTTTAGCCTACAGTTTCTTCTAGTTCCATTGTTTTCTCTTATTTGGTTAATTCAGCAGAAAGCATCCTAACTGATATTGACATACTGGCTCTAGTTGGGTCATATGTCCATCCCGAACCATTCATAATGGGAATGTGATGTATGATTGGCCTTAGCCTCAATGCCCCAGTCCACTTCTGCAGTGGGATGAGTTCATCCCATCCAACTATATGGACTGAGTGTGGAGAAAGGGGAGGACTATCTCCTGGGAAATGAGGATATGGTTTCCATAAAATCGTGAAGTAGATACTGTGAAGCAAAAATATCATGTATCCAGGACTTTATTCTTTTGAATGTGCCTTTTATTACACAGTGGTCTGAAATTGTCAGTGTGGTAAAATAAGGACTTGTAATTTGTTACTTGATCTGGTAGCCCAGAATTTATAACTTTGGAAGGTTTTAAATCAAAGGTAGATTTGCTATGCTATTGAATCATCTCAATAGCCTGTGAATGAATATGTGTCTTCAGTTAGGGCCTCGTATCTCCAGCTTTGGAACATCAGCCATTTCAAAGTAATAGCAAAGGAAAGCGTGGCCCATGGCCAAGACAGACAAAGCCTGGGTTGCTCTCTAAAGGACACTGGAAAACCTGGCAGCTATTTAAGTTGCATGTACCATCCCTCAGGCCCGATGTTTTTTTGGCCCCCTTCTCTCATATCCCCTGAAGTTCAGTTGGTCTCATGCTCTCAGAGTCAGCCCAGTATGTAGAACAGTGGGGCCTCAGGTTAGGCAGTGTCTAGTGATTACAATTCAGCTGTTGGCTGGAATTCCATCTGTCAAGCAGGTTTTGCAGTCAGCCATTCGATAGCAGAAGAGTTAGTCCATGAAACTGGATTTCCTGCATATCCGGAAACAGGAGCACCTCTGGAGATCTGACATGCTCTGTGAAAATTCGGGGTTAGTTTTTGCTATTCCCGGTTAGTCTCTGCTGATCCTAATGTATTTCAACATTTGAGGATAGCGCGACTGCGCACGTGCACACACACACAATTTATTTTTTATTGTGAACTTAAGTAACTTTATAACGACAATCTAATCAACATTAAACTACTTGTCTCCAAAGTAATTTTTTCTTTGTCAATGCACAGACATGCATTTTTACTTAAAATTAGTGTGAACATATTCATTTTTGTTTAAGAGAGCTTTTCTTTACCTTGGCATTCAGATTTGTTTTCATAGGCGAAGAAAGCACTGAGAAGGAGAAGGAATCATCCCTGGAGAGTTGGGAGGATTATGTGGGGTCATGCTCTCCCAGAGTTAAAGAAACCTTAAAGGACCCCGAACCCCTCCCCACATCTCCGATAACAGCCTTTCTAGACTCACAGTCACTGCAGCAGCTTTCTCAGCAAGCGGGGTCTCTCCACAGCTCACCCCACAACTCTAAGGGGGACTCTCCTTCTAAAGAAAGAATGAAATTCCATCCTTCAGGTGGGCTAGGATACACTTGTCTGTCAGGGGCCTCCCCTTCACTGCATTGTGAGGCTATCTAACCAGTTTCCCACACAGGAAGCAAGCAGAATCGATGCTGCTCTGGGACAGTCCCCCATACCATTCCCTGTCATGTCTTCTTGTTTTTTTAAGTATAATTACACACCAATAGTTTTTAATCTATCAAAGCATTAATTTTCCAATCCTTGTTTCCTAAATTAAGGAAGTATCGACATTAGGTTTAATTAAAACCTGCAACTATTTGTACAGCTGTCTCTGGGTTCATGGCTCGTAAAAGGATTTAGTTCAAACCCTGCAGCCTAAATCCTTTGGGAGTTTCACACAAAACCTTTATGCTCCTCATCTGGGCCGTCACTTCAGGAGCAGGCCTGATGCCACTTCGGGGTCGGGCTCTCCAAGCCCATGTGGCATGGGGCAAGGCAGAGACCTGCAGAACATCCAGACACAAGTCCTTTTCTTTTGTTTGGGGGGCTAGAGGCCTTGAAGGATACTTCAAGAAGTTCCTGAAAATTCCTCTAGGGCTGTGAGAAAGGGAGAGAGAAGAAGCAGGCTCACTCTCCCTTTGTGAGCTTTTCTCTAGTTCTGTACACTGTCACTCCCAGGAGAGTCTTTTATCGCCAGCCCGCAGGGCGTGAATGGTCAGTGGCAAGCATCTTTCAAAGGAGACAGTGGTGGGGTAATGCGGCCGACAGATGTATCTGCACTTCGCAGCACGTTTTCCCAGCAAAACCCTGAAGAGTAAGAAGAACCGGAGCTCAGCATTTGGCTGATTTTCAAGTGCACGCGGAGCAGCGCTTCGAGCAGCACTGGGTCGGGAACAAGGCGATTCAGGCTTGAAGCGAATGCAGGGGCCAGCGCAGATCACCCACGGCGGGCCAGGGGCGGGACCAGCCCCACAATTCGAGAGGCCCGGAGGCCTATGAACCGCGGGTTAGAAAATGTGACCCTGGCGACCCCAAACGCCCATCGCCTCCCTCCCTCGCTGCTCCACCTGCCCGCGGAGCGCGCAGAGCCGGCTGCGGAGACGATGGCCAGCCCCGCTCCCTTAGTGGCCTCCATTAGCCACCAAATGGTGGCTTTGCAGACCCTGCAGCTCCTGCAGCAGGAATGGGGCTGGGGGGATGGTCCGGGCGCCCCTGGGAGTTCGCCCCACCCGGACCACGTGTCCTCCGCCCTAGCGCGTCGCTCAAGCCCGCTGCAGGCTCGGGAGGGGCTAGGACAGGGGATGGGTTGGGAGGAGGGCAGCGGGGCCAGGGGGATCCGGAATGGGGGCTCCGGGGGTCCGGCGAGTCCCCCAGAGGTGGAGGTGGTGCGGGGCGCCGAAGGGGGTGCGGAGCTGCTTCCCTTCCCCCAGGGCCGCGGGCCCTGCACCCTGGCCCGGATGGCTATGCGCAGCGCACTGGCCCGCGTGGTGGACTCGACCTCAGAGCTGGTCAGCGTGGAACAGACGCTGCTGGGTCCCCTGCAGCAGGAGCGGTCCTTCCCCATTCACCTGAAGGTGAGTCTGGCCTCCAGCATACCCCCTTGGGAGCTGGATCCTCCTGCAAGCCAGGGCTGCTGGGCCTGGATGGAGACTGGGTGGGGTCACAGGATCCCAAGCTGAGCTGCTCACGGGAGAGTGAAGGGGGTGATGAAACGTGGAGGACACCGCACTTGTGACAGGGAACTAGGATTGGGGGCTGAGCAGTGCGGAGGTGCCCACCTGGGGCCGCCTGACTACAGAGCAGGGAAGCGGGAGAGGCCTTGCTGAAGGCCTCTGCAACTCCTTCTCGCACGGAAATCAGCTTCCTGCTCCAGGTAAAGGCCCTTTCCACAGGTGCAGCTTCTAGGCCTGAAGGACAGCTAGCTACCCTTATTCCCCCCTTCAAATTAATAACCCTTCTTCCAGAGCCTTAAATACATGTATTAAGTCCCCACTGCCTTTTGTATGAAGAAATCACCTACATTAATTTAAAGTCCTTTCAAACTTATGAATCACAGTTATTTTTGCGTAAATATAGTTCCCCATAGAGCTCGGGACATTACAGAGTGCATCTAAATTCTCAAAAACTAGGGTAAGAGCAGGATGTGTCCCCAGTGTTGAAGCTTGAATACTAATATTAACCTCCTGCTAAGTCAAGCAGCTCATATTTATAGGGTGCATTTTTCTCTTAAGGTACCCAACTGTCAGGAAACAAAGCAGCTGCCTCTCAGGCTGAGCTGGATTGTGGAAATCTGGAGGTCTGGGTTATAGTCTTGGTTTTGCTATTAATTAACCTAACTGGTTTCAGGTCACAATCTCTTTGAGACCTTCTGGCTTTCCAGTTTTGACTTGGAGCATTACATCATTCATTTCCCTTGGGAGTTTTTTTCAGAAGGAAATGGGGAGGGGTGATGAAGAAAGCTTAGAGCATTTCTCAAGAATTGCTATTCTTGCTTTACAAGCCAAGGTTTGGGGAAAAAAATGCTATATATTAGATTGCATATACACTATAAAAGACTGATTTAAAAACCAAACATAATAAAGTCTATCATACACTCTAATAAGCATTGTTACTCTACACTAGGCTTTCTCAACCTCTGCTTTATTGACATTTTGTGCTGGGCATTTGTTGTGGGGCGTTGTTCTGTGCATTATGGGATGCTTAGCAGCATTCCTGGTCTCTGCCCATTAGATGCCAGCACCCCCCCCCCCAAGGTGATAAAACCAAATATTGCCAAATGTGAAAGGGGAAACCAGATGCCTCCAGATGCGAAGCACAGCTCCACTCACCTTAGAAAGTTAAATTAATGAAGCTGCATTTCACCAACACACTCAAGTGTGATACACCTTTTATTGTACTTCTAAGAAATAAAAAATCCTGGCAATCAAATTATGATAGACCTTCAATTGTAAGATAGTTCAATTTCAGAGATTTTTGAAATGTGAAAAAATGTGTACTATGAATTAATGAAATAGAAAGTGTTATATGATATTAGGAGTATATATAAGACATAGATGGGTTGGCTAAAAGAGAGGCCGAGTGATCGGTTCTACCTCAGATGATCCTGGTGATCCTGGCATGTTTCTGGGAGGAGGTAACCTTTTTTATTTTTTTTATCCTCAGAGGAGGTAACCTTTTTTATTTTTATTTTTTTATCCTCACCTGAGGACATTTTTGCACTTATCTTCAGATAGAACGGGAGGGAGAGAGGGAGGAAGAAAGAGAGAGAAACATCGACTGGTTGCCACCCACACGACCCCAAATGGGGTAGGGGACAAACTGCAATCGACGTTCGTGCTTTTAGCGAGAACCAAATTGGGACTCCCTGGTCCATGGACCGATGCTCTAACCACGGAGCAAACTAGCCAGGGCAAGGTAACCTTTTTTAAAAAGGAATGGTGCCCTGGCTGGTTTGGTTCAGCGGTTAGAGAGTCAGCCTGTGGACCAAAGAGTCTCGGGTTCAATTTCCCATCAAGGTATCTCAGTTGCAGGTTTTATCCACGGGCCAGACAGGGTTGTGCAGGAGGCAATCAATTGATGTTTCTCTCTTCCTTCCTCCCTTCCACTCTATCTAAAAAAAAAAAAAAAATCAATGGAAAAATATCCTAGGGTGAAGATTAAAAAAAAAAGAATGTTTGCTGTCCAGGCATTAAAGGGAAAGAACATTTTAGGGGAGCTGTGTGAACCAAGACCCAGAAGCGATGAAAGGTCTGGGATTTGAGAGGGGAATTAAAATGTGTTCACCATGGCAGAAGGCAGAAAAGGCATGAAGGCAGAGAAACCCTCACCACAATAACAATGGATTTTTTAAAAAATATATGTTTTCATTGTATTTTTAGAGAGAGAGGAAGGGCGAGAGAGATAGAAACACCGGTATGAGAGAGAAACATCAATTGGCTGTAGCTGACAACTGGGGCATGTACCCTGACCGGGAATCCAACTGGGACCTCTCAGTCTATGGAAGGACATTCAATCCATTGATTCACACTGGCCGGGCTACAATGGGTATTTTTATCGTACTTTACTTTTTTCTTAAAGAAACCAACACTTAATATTCTTTTTGAATATTTAGAATTTCTCAAAAATATGCAAAGAAGAAAAACATGAAGTGAGTTTCTCCTTCTTCGTGATGGATAAAAAGTGCTTAATAGTACTGAGTCTTGTTAAATTTGGTTGGGAAGATGTAGTTAACCAGTCTGACAAACATTTATTATAGCAGGAAACTGAGGCTCTAAGGAACTTAGGACTTTGCTGAGGATCCTGCTTCTGGGAAGTGATGGCCCACAATTCAACCATGCTTTTATGTGACTCTTTCTACCAAATCTCACGGCTAGTTCATAGGGGTGTCATGAACATCACACTGAAATAAAGTACGTGAAAGTGCTTAGTTGACAGGACACAGTCATCATGCCATGCAATACATACCACTTGGGTGTAACAGTCACATTGTAGACTCTTAGCTCGGGCTGACATAACAAAATGTCACAGACTGGGTAGCTTAAACTGCAAACATTTATTTCCTCACTGTTCTGGAGACTGAAAAGTCTAAGATCAAGCAAGGTGCTAGCAAATTTGTTTTCTGGTGAGGGCTCTCTTCCTCTTATAGATGGCCACCTTCTCACTACGTTCTCATTTGGTCTTTCCTCTGTGCATATGGAGAGAGAGAGATCTTGGATGTCTCTTCCTTTTCTTATGAGGACACCAATCCTATTGGATCTGGGCCCCACCCTCTGACATCATTTAATCTCAATTACCTCCCTAAAGGTCCTATCTCAAAATACAGTCACAAGGAAGTTAGGTTTTCAATATATGCATTTATTTGGGGGGGAGGGGCACAATTCAGTTCATAACACTGGGTAATTTGTGTCCCTTCTTCCATGATGGCCACTTTACGTAGTGACAAAAAGCACCAGGTAAATGTAGGAAATCATTGTCAAACTAGTAATACTAGCAAGACTGCTTTAAGCACCTGCAACTCAAAGGGAGCATAGAATTATGGGAGGCACCAGAAGGAAGCCAGGCTAGGATTTTACAAACTGCCAAAAATGACCAACTCACTTAGAGACTATTAACCAGCCAATTATGAAGTCACTGACTGAGTTTTGTCTGTCTTCCTTTGAGAGTTAAAAATATTTATAGTTGCCAAGAGTTCTTTCTGTTCTGAAGCAAGTTTCATGGAAACTATGGTGATGCCAACTTTCAGAGGCAGAAGAACTTTCCTGACATTGCAGATTTAACTTGCCTGTGAGCTGGCCCGTTTCAATTAGCTAATTCTGGTACCAATTATTCCATCACGTTTAGTAGTCCTCACTGTTTTTTCATTCTACAAAGCAAGAGCAGTGGTTAGAAAACTGTTAGCTTTGGTTGCAAAGTCATTGTAATCTTTATAAAATATAAGTGTGAATATTGGGTTACTCAGGGGAAGACACTGATGATGAGTGCTTCCCTCCACTAACATTAATCAGTTAAGCCAGTTTCTACAAATTTGAAAATTGTGTCTTCAAAAATTACTCACATATTATTAAAGGGAATAAAATGCTCATGGTCATATAATTAATAGCTGGGGATTGCTATTCACTTGAGACAAAATAGTGCTTATATGTTAGAAAAAGTGAACACTCTAGAAGTAGTTTTGTTATAGTTTGTAATTTCTTAAAATGTGAGTTATATGAGAATCAGGACATATAAGATTTCTGAAATGAAAATTTTGGAAAGATATTGCAGAAAGGCTCTAAAATAAAGCCACTTATGTTTGACAACTTGATGGAAATTCTGCCATGCTCTCTTTTATAACTTTTGGGTTTGCCTTGTGAGAATACCTGCATCAAGTTCTTGTATCCATCACAAAGTGCTTTCCACAGACTTTTCTAATGAAAATGATGACGTACCCAAAGCAAATGTACAAGGAACCTTGGTTACTTGCGGGCATTGACGCTGGGTACAGTGCAAGCAAGAATGTTTAATTTCCTGTGGACGACAGACTTTTTATGGTGAATGGCAGATACTTTGGTTCTTCATTGGGTGTTTTATTAATGTGCAGTTGCATATCTATTTGAGATTGATCTGGGTTTTAGGTGACTGGTGACTGCTCTGGGCCCTGTGAATTTGTAGCTCAAAGCCAGATGTTGACGTGGCACAATCTGAAGCATACTATTCCTAATAGTGTATGGTTTTCAAAACATCCCCTACACAGAGGAACAGCATTTCTATTTTATGTACACATCCAGTGTGGAGGGTTGTAGCGTTTGAGGAGAGGATTTGTGTTCTTTGTAGGTCCTAGCACTGGGTGGCTTTTATGGAGAATGGTCTGCTGGCCATGCCGAAGCTCATGAAGACCAGGCCCCATCACAGAAAGCTGGGGACAGCGCTTTCTTTCTCTACTGTTCTCTGTAGAGGACATTAGGCACTCAGGGAGAGTGAGGGGGAAAATATGAGACGAAAAATGTTTGTGGAGACCATTGTAAGAGAATATAGCTCAAGATGTGACTGTTTTGAAAAGAACCAACTTCTTTTAAAGGCCATGGTTAAGGAAATA